GGAAGACCTGGGCTCTAGTTCCACCTCTTCCAGGACCTGTGAACAGGTGCTTCTGTGGCCTCAGTGTCGCCATGCTGGAGTATCTTTAAGACCCTTTAAAATGGAGAACACCTGAAGCCACACCTTGTAAAGCTACTGCAGGCCCAGGATGGTGTGAGGACCGGCCAGGAGGACACATTTCTGACGTTCCACCTCACCCTCTGCTGGGACAAACAAGGCATGGTGTATATGCTTGGGGGGCGGGCGTGCTTAATTCACGTCTGCTGTTCATCCCTCCTCTACGCAGTGTCACCCTCCAAGCCGGACTGCGGCATCGAGGGCGAGACGGTGGTTGGGAACAACATCCAGCTGACCTGCCAATCCAAGGAGGGTTCCCCCGCCCCGCAGTACAGCTGGAAGAGCTACGACATCCTGCACCGCGAGCGGCCCCTGGCCCAGCCAGGTAAGCGTCAGCAGGGAGGCGGGGCCCCACCGAGGTGCAGCTGATTGGCTAGGGCTGCAAGGAGTCTCTGGAGCGGGCCAATCAGAGCTCCCTGAAGGCCTCCGCTCCCGCACCTGCAGCTGCCACTGGGATAACGCGGTGCCTCTGTCCAAACGCCAACCATAAAAACGCCTACCTCATAGGTGGGGAGGAATAAAAATCCCTCCTGGAGACCACCTAATGGAAGCGCATCACGGGTGCTAGCTCTATCACCCACACCTCCATTCTCTCGGAGATGGTGTGCGGATAATCACCGGCAGAAGCCCGCGTGGGATTTTCATTTTGATCCCAGTTGTCCACACGTCTGACCCTGAGGCTCCACCCAGGGTAGGGAATTCCCTCCCCTGCCCGGGCCAGTCTGGCTCAGCCTCCCTGACCCCACCTCCCCCATGCGCCACCCTTTCGGGGGCACCCAGGGATCTGGACGGTCAAAAAAAAGGCTTGAAAGGTGTCCATTAAGTTTAACTTGGAGGAAGTCTTTGGTTCAGTGGAGGTGAAAAGGGAGCAGGGCTGGGTAGGCGAACTCGAAGCCTGCGGTGTGCCCGACTGTCCCGGGGTGAGGTGGGGACACGTGGTGTCCTGGCGGCAGAGCCGGCGCACGTGCAGACCGGGCGTCTCAGCAAACCAGAACTCACTTAGGTATTTGTACCTGATCTTCCCCTTACTTGGGGGCAAAACAGCAACTTGTAAAAGTAAAGTAATAGAGAATGACTAGAACCCACCCAATCTGGTAAAAAATAGAAAATGCGATGTGAGTTTCCACGAGCTCTCGGGCCTGCTCACCTGCGCCCGGCTGGCATGTGTTCAGTGCACGCCTCTGGGATCTGGGCTGCGCACGGCAGCTCTCCCCAGCCTGCGTCTCGGGCCAGCGCACCCCGTAATGACGGCCGCGAGGACCGAACTCGCGGATTGCCGATGTTGGGCCTGCCTGCCCGCTGAGCGCATGTGGGCACTGAAGCCGCAGGGCCGCAGGTGGGGAACACGCAGTAGTTTCTACCCAGTGCTGTCACACAGACGCCGTGGAAGAGGATCAGAGGTCCCCCAGAAGGGCACGTGAGCCGGCAGGGTCACGTGGTGGGGCATGCTGCCGGCTGGAATCTTGGCTCTGCCACCTGCCCGCCTGTGACCTTGGTGAGGTCCTCACCTGTGAACAGCAGGATCCCAGTATTTTTTTTTAAATTTAAATTTAATTTAAATTTAAATTTATTTACGTTCATTCACTATACATCATTACAGCATACAAAATGAGATTTCCCATCCAGAGTACACTGTATATTGGCTCAATCAGGCACATCAACATACATGTTATCATCGACACATAATTTTCCATTTCTTGTTTCCTGCATATTTTGCTTTTTTTGCCATCCTTGATTCCCTATCTCTCACCTAGAAATGGAAAATTATTGATGATGATATACATGATTAAGCCACCATGCGGTCTATTCTGCATGGGAAATCACTTTTTGTATGCTGTGATGATGATTAGGGGATGAATGTACATTAATTAATTTTTTAAAATTTCAGAAAAAAATGCATATTTAATGACTGCAGTAAGCGATATAGCCCCAGCTCGGTGCTACTTTATAGTATGTTCATTTTACTCAGTTTATGCCTAAAGTCAGACTCGTGTTCATGGATATGTACGTATCAGCTGTGCTTGCAATTGGAAATATTTAAATTAATTAAGTTTATTAGCAAATCAATACAATGGGGGGAAAAGGCATAGAAAGCAACCATGGATACCAGGGCCAGTGGACGATCCCGGTATTTATTTCCGAGGCTTGCTGGGAGGGTTAAGTAAAGGTACAAGGAATGAGACCCGTGCCTGACGACGGGACTCTCAATGACCGCTAGGTGTCCTCAGCTGTCGGGACTCTCAATGACCGCTAGGTGTCCTCAGCCGACGGGAATTTCAATGACCGCTAGGTGTCAGCTGCGGCGCGAGCAGGGCCTGAAGCAGGAGTAGGCTGGACATCCAGAAAACCCTACAGGAAGGATACTCCGTGGGGCTGAGGGGTAGAGTAGCGGTGGCGGGAACCTGGTAGGAAGAGCAGTGGCAGGAGTGAGGGGAGGCCTGTGCTCCATGCCGGGAGGGCTGGCCTCTGCCGGTACCCCTGCCACCTTCTGAGGAGCCTCACCGTCGCACCCTGGTTATAGCTCTCCCGCCTCCAGCAGCGATCACTGTCAGAATTAGGATCTGGGCTGACAGAAAGGAATGCAACTGGTGACAACAGCGCGATGTGGTATCTGATGATGCCGTGGGGGTCTAGGGCATTCCCAGAGCCGTTCGTCCCCACATTACCACGGAGCCGAGGGAGCCAGGAGGCCTTCTTCCTCCATGGGTCCCAACCTGTCTCTGACTTGCAAAATACTTCATTCCCCTGTGGCTGTTTTGGAGAGGAGGGCTCGATCCTCCTGCATCTGAAGACAGAATTTCCTACGTTAGAAGTTGGTTCCTGGGGCTTTAGCAATCAGTGGGAACAAGCTGACCATCAACGATGCAGGGGGCCTGGAATCAGAAAACGGGGGGTTGAGTCCCGACTTCTCTGCTTGGTGGCCGTAGGTCACTCACAGCTTTTCTGGCCCTTAGTATCGTCACCTGAAACAAATCGGGGTGATTGCAGCCCGTCTGTGCGGAAGGCTGTGACGAAGATAAGAGGAGAGATGTGCAGTAGAATGCAGAGAATGCACTTTGCAGACGGTGTCCCAGACACCTGAGCGCCATGCACGGAAAGAATAGGAATTTGGAAGTGTGTGTGTGCAGCAATGGGGGTGGTAATTCTGGGGCTGGAGCCCTTCAGGAAGGAGGTTATGAAGGGAAAGGCCTTGGGACGACATCTTGAGCTGATTGACAAGCCATGGACTCATGGTAGGGGACAGGGAAGCTAGAGCTTGTCAACTTGACGCCTGTGTCTTGGGCAGACCTCTGCTTCTCTGGAGGGGCATCGCTCCCCCTTGGAGCAGACCCAGGAAGGTGGGAGGCAGATGACTGTCCTGTTCTTTCCACACTTGACCACAAGGTGTCGCCACGGCAGTAGAAATGTTCCTTTTTGCCAGATCTCAGAAAACGCAAACCCCTGGAGGAAGCAGGTGTTGTGATGCTAATGTGCACCCGCTCTCCCAGAGCAACTCCTGATGGAAACTGGGGAGGGCTGATGCTCACTCCACGAAGCCACATGTTCCCTGACCCTAATCAAAGCCTAAAACACTGGACTCTAACGGTGGAGGAAGTCCTCGGTCCGTCTGCAGGCCCTGTGCTCCAAACGTGCTGAGCTCTGTATCCTAAGGCAGTGGGAACCCAATGACACCCGCTGACCTCCTAAACCACCCACTGCTGTAGGGCACTTCCCAAATGTGTGCCTTCCAGAGGCCTCTTAAAAAATAACACAATCCAGTTAGGTTCAAAAATGAGACCATTTACAGCATAAACTCCCGATCAGAGACTTCCAGAGCTTACACGCATATCTGGAGCTTTTCACCCCAACTCGGTGATTTCGAACTGGCTTTGGTCAGGAAGCCCTTTCTCGGGATCACGTGTTAATATCACGTGCAGCGATATTGCAGAAGGCACACGGAGGGGTGTCACTGCAGGGGAGAAGCTGAAGCACCATGCAGAGGACATCCAGGTAGCTGTGCCCAGGCTCAGGGAGAACCTGAAGAAAGTGCAAGTGGAAAGAGTAGAAGAAAATAATCCCGATTCAAAGTGCGGTAGTTTCTAGGTGACGAGATCGTGGATGGTCTTTATCTTACTTCTCCTTGTGAAAGCGGCTTCCCCTGATCCTTTCGGGGTTAAATCCCATGTCGTGAGCTCAGAGGGTGCCTCGGTCTCAGACTGTAGCCTCCCTCAAAATCCCTATGGCTTCATGGCCTTCCTCTGTAGACTGGAAAAGCCAAGAGGACAGGGACCCTTCATCGGGTTGATAACGGTGGTAAAGGTTTTCTGGGGCTGGCTGCATGGCCTGTGGTTCAGGCAGCTGGATCCCACATGGCCGACCACGTGGCTGGAGCCCCAAACCCTGCAGCTTTAGAAACACACCAGGCAAGTGTGTGTGCCAAAAATCCCAACAGGAAGGAGAGATGGAGAAGCGAGACTGTTCCCTATGAGGGGTGCTTTCTCCTCTCTGCCTCTCTCTGGTGAGCACAGGCACCTCTGGATTTAACTGAGTTGAAATAATAGTTTTGTGTCATGTATCAATTATTAAAATGAGCACACATTGCTTTTATAACAGAATTTTTTAAAGAAAGAGATGACC